TGTTGACCAGGATGGTCTCGATTTCTTGACCTCGTGATCCACCCACCTCGGCCTCCCAAAGTGCTGGGATTACAGGCTTGAGCCACCGCGCCCGGCCAATGATATAATGTTTTATAAGGATACAGGAAAATTGCTCCTCTCATTCCTTACCTCATTCCCACCTCCAGCAGTTGTTCTTGATTTTGACTAACTAGGTATTAGTTACCAGATCCAAGCCCTTTTAAATTAGAACTCCAGGTGCATAGACTTGTACCAGTTCAAATGGGCTAACTGAAGTATAGAGTCTAGTGTGGGTAATCTCCTAAGGGTTCTAGCCTTGGCTCTCCCATTGACTAACGGTATAATATTAGTCCAGTTATTTCATCTTTTCAAGCTTCAGCTTTTCATCTATAAAATAGTAACAAGAAATGCCTTATAGGCGCTCACGATTAAATCCGATAATCCATGTCAAGCACTTAGCATATAATAATATCTTTTTTTTAAGCCTACAGTAATATCTCAATGTATGCTAAGTATTAGGATATTGAATCTTGGGAGCTTTCCACTTATCAATTCGGTTAATTTGGTCAAAAAATGTTTGTTGCAGTTTTTATGTGCATTAGCAGGGAACTGTGCTGGTGATGGAAACAGTGATGGGTAAAATAGGCTTGTGCCTGTTCTCAAAGCTGTATCTAGCACATATATAGCCAATAGTTTTTTAAAAATGAACAAATATATAATTACAAACTGTGAAATGTTCCATGAAGGGAAATACTGGGGGCTGTAAGAATTTATAAAAAGGGCCCTGAGATAGCTCAGGAAGAGCTTCCTTGAGAAATGATAGATGGCATTAATTGAACACTCACCATATGCCAGTGTATTCATTTGCTAGGGCTGCCAATAACAAAGTACCACAGACTCGATGCCCTAAACAACAGAAATTTATTGTCTCAGAATTCTGGAGGCTAGAATTCCACGATCAAGCTGTTGGTACCTTGAGGTCTCTCTCCTTGGTTTGTAGATGGCTGTCTTCTCCCTGTGTCTTCACATGGTCTTCCATCTATACCTGTGTCCATATTTCCTCTCATTAGGACACCAATAGCATTGGATTAAGGCCCACCCTTAATCCAACTCTACTAACAGTACAAAAATTAGAGGGGCATGGTGGCGGGCGCCTGTAATCCCAGCTACTCAGGGGGCTGAGGCAGAACCACTTGAACCTGGGAGGTGGAGACTGCAGTGAGCCCAGATCACACCACTGCACTCCAGCTTAGGCAACAAGAGTGAGACTCTGTCTCAAAAAAAAAAAGAGAGAGGCCGGGCGCGGTGGCTCAAGCCTGTAATCCCAGCACTTTGGGAGGCTGAGGCGGGTGGATCACGAGGTCAAGAGATCAAGACCATCCTGGTCAACATGGTGAAACCC